TGGCCAACTCCCCTGGGTGAACTACCAGTGGTCCACCAACCCGGTTCTAGCCCCGGATATCGGCTTTTCCTCCTCTCATTTTGGTGGAAAACCATCTCCGCCACGAGAAAGCAGTTAGTAGGGCTTTCTCAGCAGAGACTATTCGAGACGCTTGGTTGTATGGGAGCATTTCGCGAGGTGCAAGGGAAGGGTGACCAGTAGCAACCCTGGAAACCCACCCCGACCATACTGAGGCTTTCGGAGGCATCCATAGTGTTGGTTGCAGTGTTTTCGGTATTGCGTTGAAAGTAACTATGTGGTATGGGTACATTTTCGTTTGCACGGAATTCGTTGGCGGCTGTCAATCCGTGCTGAGCGAAACGTTCTGTTTTGTTGGATTCAAAATTCCTGACAGTATTGAAGGGAATGCTTTTGAAGCTGTCTATTGACCAGAAACAATACGACTTGGTTGCAGAGTATCAAAGGAATATTTATCACTATCGACACTGTTTTTTGGCAGGGGAAAATGAACAGATGACAAAAACGAAAAGAACAACAACTAGTCTCAATATCAGATACCAACGGGAAACAATTAAGATTCATTATAGATTGTTGCTCCAAGATGTACTTGCGGACAACCGCACTGGGACTACTATCAGTTCACTTTGTTGGTTTAGTCCAGAGCTGTGAAAACGGGTGTCTCGGAACGTGGCTGTTTATGCAGTACCAGATGGATTTGGGAGGCACGAAGATACGTGCTAGTTGGAGCTGATACACACGAGCATACGCGTACACAAGCGTGAGAGCAAGATGATAGTTGCAAGAGACGTAGATGAGAGATTAGTCCAGATCACATATGACCAGAAGTGCAAGTTTGATTACGTGCAGCATACGGATAATGGAGGATTCAGAGGGAAACGTAAACGTATGAGCGAGGTTGAATGGGTAAAGATGAAACATCTGTCCAATTCAAGTTAGATGGTTCAGATTCGATGGCACTAGAGGTCATCAAAAGTACTCTTTGGTCAGTGAGGTCATGTCCATCGATCGGGTCGGAAGTGTAATGGTTGAGGTAATCACGTAAACAATGGATCATTTTCTATAAGTAATGGATATAAAACTCACATTTTATCCAACCCACATCGTTTCATGTGAAAACCTCTTTCAACCATGACACGGAAGAGAGAGAGAAACCTGTTTGAATCGTAGGGCGCAGAATATGTGTGCCCATAATAGCTTATTGTCTAAAGTAACAAAAGAGTCGAAACAGCGATGAGCAAATAAGTTCATATTCTTTCATGTTTCCGTTGAATTCCAAATGGATTTACTGTTCTTCCACTGCGCTGATAACCTCTAAACAACTGTAGAAGGCTTATAAAAGGTTTCTGTGATGTAAGGCGCATTACTAAATTTCATTCCTCACTGGGGAAGGAAACGATGCAAAGTACACATTAGGAAAGCAACTTGTGTTTGAGTTACACTTCATATTTGTATGACATTCACCAAATAATGTTCGTCTCAAACAATCTTGGTCCTCCTCTGAGTGGCACCCAAGAATTCGATGGCGCTGGGACATGAGTTGCGGATACCGGTTAAACTACTGCCCCATCGCGTTATGTTTGTGAAAGCCGGCACTAACTATAAGCTTTAACGAGGTGGACAACGAATAACCTGGACCGGAGTGATGAAGGCGTTAACCTCAAATTTGACACTGATAGGACGCTGTAGACTCTCAGGTTGGGGTTCCAAGGATGGCGAACATCTCTAATTCAAAACATTGGCCGAAATTGACTCGAAACCAACACATGTGTTGAGAGACGTTTATCCGCTGGTTTGCATTCAAACCTTTTCCACATTTCTTCCTCTATGCGTATTGTGACAAATTTGCCAATTCTATGCAATTGGTAACGTGTGCGCGAATCAGGCAGGCATCAAGGAATGAGCAGAATGGATCAGATTTTCAACAATTGGGGCTGTTGTAATATTCACTCGCATGATTTTATTTTAACAAACAAGTGTTCGTAGTTAGAATGCAACAGTTTTACTTGATGATCTACCAGAAAATTTGTCAGTAGATATGAAATTTTACGGATATTCCAATAGCGTACTGGATACCCTCGGGTTAAGCAGAGCTGAATACTACCAGGTGCGTTTCCCGGTTGTGGAAAGGGAGATACCTTCACCGAAAAAAGTTAGCTATGAATAGGTTGTGGCATACCGCAACAAATAATCAGTCGCGAACAAACAGCGGCAGTACTACCAGGGTGTGGTGGGTTTCAGGTTAGTCACTTGGTTCCTGTTTAAAAGCCGCATAATCCCAATGACGGTGTCGTGACAAATGTCGATGTGACTGACCATTTAAAACTAAAATCGTTGACCCCCTCACTTCCGAGGCGAGGGATTACTTCCTGCTACCTTGCAGTTCGCGCTTGGTTTTGCAAAGGCTGGAAGTGCATCCTCGAAATAAAAAATGCCGAGTGACGCTGGGGACGTCTCTCATACCAAATTCCCAAGGAACTCCATGATCTTCATCGTGATCATGTCTGGAGCCGGCTTATACTTTCTAAGGAACCAGCTGCAGTAAAGAAGTACGAGGGTTGGAAGCAACTTGAGGGTCGAAAAAACTTCCTTCTGATGCTCTCAGGTAACGCAGAAGACAGGTCGTTTGGACAGTTGTTGATCAACCAGATTCAAAAGCTGGTCAGGCACATGCTCATTGTTTGCAAAGTATCATCCTCTCTTTCTCAATCGGACACTCGAGGAGCGATTCAAATGGATGAAACTACAGGCAAATGCCTTACGCAACGACTCATTCACCGTTTGAGGATTGTTCATGAGAAATGATGGGTAAAAATGAAAGAGATATAGCTGACTGCGGTCGTCAGTACCGGCTACAATATTTTCCGGAAAATGGATTCCCGAAAATCAGGTCTAAGTGAAGCCAAACCGAGTACGAGGGCACACCGATTCACCACATTCAGTAATGCTGTGAGAAACGATCAGAGGTCATTTCAAGGCACGGTTGAATTGTGTGCTTTTAGTCGTCATTGGACCAGCTATTTCACTCTTTCAAAAAGCGAGTTGAATTGTGTTCTGTCTCTCGCCTTTATTATAACTTCCACATTTATCCTTTATCAGTCGGCTCATTTATTCTTGTTCGAACAAGTGGGGATGTTGCTAAGACAGCAACCATAATCACAACGATGATTGTTTTAAAAACCGAACTTCCGCCGGTTTGGACCAATCTTTGATACTCGGGGTTTTAAACCCCATCGTCGTCACCATAACGTGTTCTTATGTGATCTTCCATTGCAAGTATCAAGACTTCGGTTACCGGTACCATAATCGGACGGTAGGTTGTCCTGGCAAAGCAACTTGTCCCTTCAGCTTTTCATCAAATCATTCAAATGATTGCTAAAAATTCCGGACAAACATCCGTCAACATCATATTGACTATTGTTTCGTTCATCTAGCATAGATAGCTATTGGTTCTTCTTCGTGGTGTTTATCTCTCGTTCACTCCCTCCATTATAATTCTAAGTTCCAATTTGTTTTGCATGAACAGTATCAATAACCAAACAATTCATGGACTGTACAGTCCGCCTCTCCCACGGGCCGCTCAAAAACCTCATTTTGTTTATCTACCCGTTTCATTCCCTGCCCCCGCCATTTTTTTCCTTCCTCCAGGGCAGTGTCCTTGGGTTGTAGCGCGCCTCTGCTCTATCTCGGTGCTCTGCGCTCCGCCTCCCTCGGATTTCACTGGATGGAACGTAAATATTTATTACTTAACGCGATCCTCGGGGCCTATCATGCGCTTTATTTGGTCAGTTCTGTTTCAATCCGATTCACAACATGCCTTATCTGGGGATTGATGATTCGATTAAATCAGTTATCTTCATTTGTATGCTGTGTGCGAGTTAAGGATCAGGGTTCACGCAATTCCGCAACACTGACCTTTGTTCCTACTTCTCACCAATCAGTCTAGAGTTGTTTAATCAGGGTTTTTCACCCCAGACCACAGAAACATAAGCAGACGTGTAAACAGCATGAAACCCAGCCCACAGCATAACCAGCCACCACATTATTGACATAATCCCCCACCCCATTGATTCCTCACATGTTGTTTGTGATTACCCTCGATCGTCACTGACGGTGAACAGTGGAACAGACCTTCGGCTAAGTGCAAAATAAACAGCTTCAACTGAAAGTAGTATATTTCGATAACCAGAGTTGAACACGATTGATTGAGAACAGAGGTGCCTTGGCCATTCTGCGTAACGTTCATAAATCAAATCAAGTGACGAATAAATGGGTCCTGTTTAAACAGAACAATCTACCTCGAAATAAACACCTTACACCGTATACCTCGCATGAATTGTATTAGACCTCACAACAAATGTGTCTGATCGCCTGGGTTGTTTTAAACGTTTATTATAGGCTTCCCATTGAACAGATATTGATCTCTTCGATTCCAACTTTCATGGGAGGTCAGAAGGTTTCGGGGATGGGTAGAAACACGACGAAGGATTTGGGCTGCCTCTCCATCAAATACGCTCAGTGTTAGGTTTGGATTTCACACAGTGTAGTCTCGGACCCGTAGTCTGCTAGCAAAGTAGAATAGCAGTACGCAGGGTAGGATAGTTTTGTTATAACTCATTCTTAACCAATCGTGTCATGCATATGTTAAGCAAAGCAGCGATAGAACTAACAGCCAATCAGAATCAGGCCCATGTCGACCGGCCGTATTGGCATGGACAAATGCGTGGGCTGGCTGATCGGGATAGATATCAATCGATAACGAACGAGCAAATTATCGATGGGCATGTTGGCAGAACGTACGCACGCAAAAAGCGGGTGCGTATGCAACACTCAGTGTGTCCGGTTTTTTATCCTACTCCGTGCATCTTCCTTGAGACAACAAGCACAAACATTCAGTGAAGTTCCGTTAGTTGGCGTGCTCTTATTACACTGATGTGGTCGAAGTTGATTTGGACCGACTCGAATGTGAAGGTCTTTTTGCGAATGAACAAGAAGCGAACCATCGTCGATAAGCATTTGTTCAATAAAGTGAATATTAGTAAAAATTCACACCAACGGACCAGATGCTGTTAGTGCAGTTCCCAGACGACAAAAAGCAAAAGAGACCATGTGTCACGGCTTAGTTACAAAAGCTATTTCCGTGAGGCGGATTTTACACGCTAGAAGTCCCTTATCAGAAGAAGGTAATCCAATTTTTGCAATGCTGGGAAGCCAGGCGAAAGTCTAGTATAGCCAGAATTCAAATTCGACCGGCCAAATNAAATGTAAACCTCAGATCTTTCTGCGAATGTGGCGTTTCTCTATTTCCGTTGATGACCAAGACACGTTTCATAGTGAGTAATTGAGGCGCCAACCCTCAACGCGAGCAATGCTTCGGAAGCATCCTCAGCACGAAGTCCCGGGTCTCACAAACGTAAAGTTAAAAGCAACAAATCTCTTCGATGTAAACCCTTCCCTTATTGGATAGTTGGAAGTTATTGCGGCATCACAGATGTTGCAGGTCAACGAAAGCTGCTCTAGCTTGCGCTATTGATGATGCGAGTCCTCCGCAATTCCACCGCCATCTGTGAGGTAATTAAAGCTATCACCTACTTCTAACTGATCTCCCTAAAAGGGTGAGTGTAGACACAAGTTCCTGCTGATATTATACATTTATCATTTCCATGGTCATAAGCGCATAACACATTGGGATACCTCTGTCGCCAAGCGCTTCAAAGCAAGTTGAGCTGCACTAAGTGGTGTAACTTAGTAGGGCGATTTCATCGGCATATTCTACGTCAAGAACTCTGTTCCTTTGGAGAAGTTCAACTTCACCGTTTCTTAGACGGGACAAAGCAACCTATAGAACATGCTCTATCGAAAAGGTGAAAAATGAATGGGGAAATAGGGTAGTGATGCCATATTCTAGTGGAGACGGCGAAGGCTGCCAAAAGCAGGCTATGGGCCCTAATCCAACAAGAGGTATAACGACACATACTTTTCAGGAACTCCATTGGTCAACAAACAGTTTGATAGTGCAGTCCTATAGACCAGATAGAAGGCCACGCGGTTGTCTAAGAACGTGGTAATCGTAGGTCTTTTGACTGTGCTCCAGGAACTGTTGAACGGTGAAGATCTGATCAACACATTCACGACCGGCATGCATCCCGGCTTGTTTTTCGCGGTTCCACTCCTCCCACGTGTTGTACAATCCGTGAGGAGTGACCAACGCCAACCAATTTGACTGATATAAAATTATACAATGCACATTGAGGAGTGGATTCTTGAGTATCAACAGAAGTTAGACCAGAGTGGTAGGATAGAAACACACCGTCCCGGGCCGATAAGACGGTGAAATAAACCATAGGAACATCACCATATCCATTATTTTCCACTAGCAGCTTTTTGGTAACAAATAAATTTAAAAAAAATAATTTGTTATTTACTTTCCCGAAGGTGCGAATACAAAAAAACGCGTTCTATCACTCAATACACTCAATGGTTAGATGATTCAAGGCTCTAAAATGGACCTTTGACATAGCCGTTTTGTCCAATTGACTTTCACTAATCGCCTTTGTCAGATCTGCACTAACATGATTGATTTTGTACGAATCTTGGCAACGTATAAACCCAATCACGGTATTTTTCACTCTTATAATAGCCGTGTTTTGAGACGCTGCCATCCCGTCAAATACAGCCCGTAGAGTTCCCGGTTTATTCAGACAGTGATTGCCCTTCGAGGAATATATAAAAAAACCTGCTTCTCTCGATGTTTCTCGGGCTTACTAATAAATAGTTGCCATGTTTTCTACCATGGAGATTAAAAATCTGTCTATTTTTCATCATGTCTACTGGCCCGAGATTGTCCTTTCGACCCCATTTGTTTTCCTAAACTCAGCCGCTAGAGGTACGTGAGATGAAACCCACCACACCACTGAAAGCACAACAACTGGGTGTGAAGGCGAACGTGGAAGGATTGGACAAGTCGTTTTTAGTTGCGGCCATGGCACTGGAACAGGGACGTTGGGTCGCGCGGGACATTGGCGGTTCCGATCCGGAAAGAATGGCTGCCTCGAGAATTGTGGACTATTTGAAAACCTCATTGGGTGGTTTGAAAGGGGTTACCATGACGGTGGAGAAAGTCGATGTTCAAAAGTACCCACTGATGGCTGCTGTGAATCGCGCGGCCTCGGGTAAGTGGTTTGTTAGATATTATATATATGTGTGTGTACTATATGGAGTTGTCTTGATCCTCTTATCAGGTGAAAACAATTAGAACACTGATCAGCTGTGTACTCAGTGAATTGCACTAGAAATAGTACAGCTAACTAAATACCGAAATCTATGATCAGTTAGTTATCGGTCGAGATAGTGCGCATTGCTTGTGACGATCAAACGCAAGACAATCACCAATCCCCCATTGGTGTCACACAAGTCTATCAGATTGTTTGGAATCTCCCTATTTCGGTGATCTGTTTGTAAAGTGTATCGTTCAGTTCAGTTCAGTTCTTGCAACCAGTAAACATGCACTTTCGTGCGCCGGTTTTGGTGGCTTTTCTTCGGTTGCCCGTTTGGATAAAACAGCAGAATGTGAATTAAAATGTTGAGAGCAGATTCAAGCTTCTTTATGGTGAGGTCAGTTTCAAAATGAAAACCATCCACGCCCTAGGGTGCTTCTGTTGATTGTCAGCGGTGATTGTGACCGCACCTGGTTCACAGATAGCCACCGATTTGGCGTTATTTTCAAAACCCCTCTACACGGGGACGCGCAAGATAGAATGCAGCTCTACTCCCCCAAGTTCGATTGAGACTTTATTTTTTATTACCCCACACCGAACTGGATACGTTTGTTGAAATTTTGGTTTCGGAACCGTTTCGAGATCTTTTTACGCCATCCCTTCGCGTGGTCATATCAATATGACTCGGTGGATCCCATCCCTTTTGGGTAACACACCGTGGTAATATGAATGAATTTCCGACGATCGTTTTTCTTCCAATCTCAGTTTATTTGACGGTTAGCCATTTGTTGGGCTCTAAAAGTGATAGCGTTTTAGTCATGTGAGGTGGTGTACTGATTTCTCTTGTTACAGAGGTTCTTGGACCATGATTTATTTGACAAACAGTATTGGTCGAGGTGAGTGTGTAATACACACGAGATGTCTCCCCAACATTTCTGGTTTACTTCCCTGAACTCGTCGTGTACTGGCCGAGTGATGGTTGTTGTCATGATTTTTGGCATGCACCAAAATTTAGTTGGTTAATGTAATTGCTCATTTACATGGTACACGCTCGATAATTCCCGACGACAGATATAAACCTTATACTAACCCAAATTAATTGTCCAGTTGTTTCACAACCGCAGTTGATTGGATTTTTGACATTGTCTCCTCTTTTCAAACAGTTGTTTCGCGTCATGACGGCCGTGTGGTTCATCTCACCTACGAACCACCTCACCCAAACCAGATTGATACCACCTTGTTCCTGATCGGAAAAGGTATCACCTACGACACGGGTGGAGCGGACATTAAGGCTAACGGAGTGATGGCCGGGATGCATAGGGACAAGTGTGGAGCGGCTGCTATTGCTGGTTTGTTCAAAACCTTGGGAGAACTCCAACCACCGGGATTGTCTGTGTCCGCATCACTAGCTTTTGTGCGCAACAGTGTAGGAGCTGATTCCTACGTGTCCGATGAAATTATAGTGGCCCGCTCCGGTCAACGGATCCGTGTGGGCAACACGGATGCCGAAGGCCGCATGGTAATGGCCGACCTGTTGTGCGAAGCTAAAGAAAAGGTACGCTTTTCCCCCGCTATTTTTCTCTCTTTCGTCGGGGTTGAAACTGTGAAGACTCTACTCGCTGTACGGTTGCATTACATCTGCAATTCACTGTTTTTTTTGCAGGCACTCACTGCGACCAATCCGTTCCTGTTTACAGTCGCCACACTTACCGGTCATGTTGTACGGGCGTACAAACACTTTACGGTAAGTTTTATCTTAAGTCACGGATTTTCGGTGTCCACGTGGGCTCAAACTTGGACTAATTTGGTGTTTAACCGTACGCTTTTTGCGGTTTTTTGAATATGCCCGAAAGGTACAAGCAGATACAAATTTGGGGGTCTCCCTATTATGCATAAGTGAATTTCCTGAACGATGAAAAGTTATTTTGTTATCCCTCGGGTTATTTTGGCTAACGTAACAACTATCACGTGCGAGCACGCATTTACGAACTGCGAGGATTGATTTTTCGTGATCCCTTCCTTCCCCCCTTGGTTTGCTGTAGACCATGTGATAATGGGCTACCCATTTATGTGAGTGGTATGATAAACTCACAAAATGGGATAGTGCCCATTTTCTCATAGCTTGTTGGTGCAACATTTGAGCGGAGAATTACAGGAACATTACGTTTGACCGACGGTTACGAGGATTTTTCATTAGGAGAAATGAATATTCCTGTTCAAATTGTATGGTTTATCCACTTTTGCCCGATTTACACCCGCTCTTCTACACTTCGTTTCTGTAAGAATCCATCTCAGTGCATATAGAACATATTTATTTATTTATTTCAAGACGTAACGAATTATATAGAGCTGGCAAATGTGCCACAACATATGAATAAAAAATGTAAAGAATGTGCTCACAGGTTGTGTAGGCATTTTACTACCCGATTTCCCTGATCTAGGAAGAGGAATCACCTCGGGGTCTCCACCTGAAGCTTTTGGCTAGAAAGCCAGACCTGCCAGACAACATGATGGAGCTCAGAGTTCGCAGTCCATTGGTGGTCGGTGTCCAGTTCATTGGGTCATACTCCCTTTTGGACGTCCCAGGTGACCAATATACCTTGATGCCCAATCGAGCGGTAACCACGAACAGGAGGCTGTGGGTGTATGTGGTTAGTACACGTCCTCTTGGTTGGTTTGGAATTAGGGTTTTTGGCTAACCCCCTTAGGTGAACTACCAGTGGCCCACCAACCCGGATATTAGCTTTTCACCCTTACACTTTGGTGGGAAAACACCTCCGCCACGGTAAGGCAGTTAGCAGGGCTTCCTCAGCAGAGGCTATTTAAGATGCTTGGTCATAGGAGCATTTCGCGAGTTGTAAGGGAATGGTGATCAATCACAACCCGAGACACCCACCCCGACCATACTGAGGCTTTCGAAGGTGGATACATGTGTGAATACTATAGTGTTAGTAAGATTTGCTGTTACAATTACTGACTTAACTTTACTGCTGCTGATTACTTGGAGCGGGGAATTTGCGGCTTCGTAAAGTTTCACGGGATTCAGTCAAAATAGGAGTCCGGCGTGTGCCCTGGTCTTTTTGAGAATGCCTCATCCACCCACTCACCATAGATGTTACACAACCAAGGGCAAACTTAAAGACAGCACCATGCTTGAGCATAGTTGATGGTGGTTCACGACTAGAGCATTCGTCACTCGATAGACATGGGTGCAACTCAGATATCCTTTGCATCCTCCTCAGTTGGTCGAATTAGGTTGATACCCGTTGGATCCGGGAAGTAAATCTCCTCCGAATGAATGTTGCGACCGGCAGCAAACCGCAAAATCTGGCAGCCACAGGTGAGAATTGAGCAAATGACGGAAACCAGCCAGATGCAGTATGTCTCAACAGAGATATCACGATCAGCTCAGAGGGGCCACTCCTAGCGCGAAAGAAAACTGAGCCCAAATTCCCCGAATAAGCTTCACCTCACTAACAGTTAGTTATCCTCATTCTTTACATAATGTATATCGCTCATGCGCTCCTTACAAAGTATTTGGGTTATTTGCTATTCAATCTAACTTTTCTCTATTGTAATGAATGGTTGAACCTGAAGTAGGCATTATAGGGCGAGAAAGACTACAAAATAGCTTTCCAGTATAATTGTTTCTTGATGTGATATTTCTCCATGCATCTGTTGAACAGGTGCTAGCATTACATTTAACTGTGTATGTAGGTATTTATCGAACTTGTGTGACACCCTGACGTCTGTCAAATCTTTTTCTCCGTTCATTTGCCTTGCACCGTATAAAAAGATACGGTATTTGGAATACTTGTATGAAACAGAAAAAGCACTTATCAAACAATATGTATTTATTCAAGAGAGTGAACTTCCATGCTACTTTGCACCAAATATTTCCTGATTGTGACCCGTATCTTTTTCTACTACCACAAATTTGTATCATGACAGTCAAAGTTGCGCCCCAATTCCAAGAGTGATACAAGAGAGTTAAGAAAATTGTACTGGGATATATGGTTCGAAATAAATGCGCTTTACCCGCAGCTATCGACACACAAATTTAGGGTCATGTTGCACGAGTTTGATCAATACCTGCTCATATATGCCAGTTTGATAGATTGCTAGGTTCGAATGAATTAACACTCGAGTTTAAGCTTCCATGTATAATCGATCGTTCAGGGGCCAAATTCAGCACTGAATTTCTATTTGGTGCCCTACGATTTTGAAGAGTAGTCCTAAATGTCTGAACAGGAGATTAAAATAAAATGAAGTTCTCGTATGCCAATTTGCCGGCTACTAGCGGATAGAATGTATGACTTTTGTGGACCACCTGTTTGTCATCAGGTGCAATAACAGGTTAGCTCATTGTAATATGCTTGGTCTCGAGCGTGCTGCAGGAAATAATCCGTGAGATAATCGAGTGTGGGCCGAGTCTCGTTGTGGGTTGGAACTATCGACGCGCAGGAGGTTTTTCGTGGATAGGGTTAACTGTCCATCTGCAATAGAGGACGGAATACAAACACCATGAACCAAAAGACACCAACATGACACACATTTAAACTGAATGGTAAGTTACCAAGAGCGTCACATCATACGTGCATCAAATCTAGGTTTTTATCCAGTTTCCAAGCCCGTTTGTATTTCCACTTTGGAACACGTGCTCATAGCTCCATTGGCCTTATTTGTCTAATGGGTCAGCTGTTTTAGATTGCTTATGGGTTACATTTTTCTATCCATCGCTCAATTTCTTCCGGAATCAGGCGGTAATGGATAACGGGCCAGCGCGCGTACACCGTGTATCTCATGACTTGCAGGAAGCCGGCGATTGTATTTCGGACATGGCGGAGGTAAGTAGTCATTTTAATTATCATTTTCACACACGCATGCAGCACGATTTAGTAAATATCTAATTTGGGATCTGGTGTGCCCCGTGATTGTGATGCATCTAGTTTGGGTTCACACTCTTTGGGGATCCATGATTTTCGATCGATTTTCTATTCTTCATTTGATCCTCGTTAGCCAGTTTGGGCGCAACCAACTCAATCTGGCATCCGAAATGCGAATCTCTTGAGTATATTGTTATGGTTTGCAGTCGATTGAAAAGTTTACCGTGCCTAGCGTGTGCATATACCTGATAATAATTCAAAGTGGCATTCATCTATCAGAAAATCTTGGAAGAATTATATGTTTGTATTTTCCGTGACACGAGGGCAAACACATGGATTATAACTCGGTTCGAATAATGTCATGAAAGGTTGTCAGGCCGAACTTCAAGTTCGACGGTGATCTTTGGCAGCTTCCTTCACATCTTGATATGAAACTGTTTATGGTTGTGTGGTATAGTACCGGGTCGCGATCGGTTGAAAAGTTAAAACCAAAACCTACTGGGTCATGCGTAACTTTTATCAATTAATACACAATTGCAAACCCCGGAAACACAGATCTGAGAATGCGGTGTGCAACACCCACACAAACACAGAAACGTATACACGAAGTGAACGATTCCTCACATTTTATTGTTCTCCTAACCCCTGGGATTTTTTCCCCTTATATACACTGTAACGGCATGACTATGAGTTTTTGAAAACAATTGTTCGCCTGAAGTTGTGTTCTAATTAATACACTCTTTTGCATCGAGCTTTAGCCAAACCCGCAATGCTTTAGTCTCGAGCCACAATCCTTTAGCCCTAACCCAGATTCCTTTACCCAAAACCCGCTGTAATACTTTGGTCACGACTCGTAGTCATTTAGCCTTGATACACACACTTTAGTCGTACCGCTGTAGGCTAATCAGATAAAAATGTATCGAAATATACTCTGAGGTCAACGAATGTTGAAAACATTTCTACAACTGTGGACGTTACAAAGCTTGGTTAAGAAACCCGCTTCAAAAAATGGTGTGTGTATCTTAGACGAGTCAAAAGTTGGCCAAGTGTCATCATCGTTTGAGCATTTTCCATTCCGAATTTCCCACATGGCGCACCGCTCCACAACTGATTCTCTTGTGGTGATTCTCTACCAACACTTAGGCCGAATCGGATACGGGACCTATCCTCCTCCTGTGCCGGCCCGATAATCACACGACCTATCGGGTTCGTTTATCGATCGGTCGAATGGTTCAGCCGCAGCAAAGGACCTGGTGCTAGCCCAGCTAACCCGAGAAACCACACCTGCTTTTTTACAGCTGTGAGTCTTAGGCAGGCCCAGTTAACTTCGACTGTGCAGCAGACGTGCCATCACCACACGGATGAACTGGCGTCAAAAAAAGCAAACAGACAGTCTCATGTGGGGTTGGCGCTTTCCAAGTGCCGCAAATCGCGGAAAATGATCCAATCAGATCGCAGAGTGGGTTAGAGGGAATTTAATTTTTCAAGGTTACGGGTGAGAGGGACATGTCAGTGTGAAACGATGGAGTGATCGCCCTGTAGACCTCACAACACTTGGATGACCACGCAGCTGTGTCGCCTTGATTACAGTTGTTAGTAATCATTGGTCATATCCATCACTGGTTGGTTCTACCCAACAATCGAAAGGTTGAAAAAATCGTTTGCGTTTAAATGCGAAAACTTGTATAGGCCAGTTTTCAGTGTATTGGTTAACATCTGGCTAATAAATGGATCACAGTTTTGAACATGCATTTTCGCACTCAAAGATTATTACACCAACCGGAATAGAATCAGCACGTTCACGTTATCATGAGGAGATGAGTACTATGACGTAGTGCATTTTTATTGATATGCAAACTGATGTCGAAGGTGGTGATTATGTGGTTGAGTTTACTATTAGAATGACTAGCTAGTTGTCGTTTCGAATCCCATTATCACCCATCCAGGATGCTCCTGAACGGCTGCAAACACCCCTTCTTGATTGTCAACCGTACTAATGTATTCAATAAAAAGAAAGTAAAAATGTTATCATTGTTATTGACTGTTCTGATTTAGGACGGAACCCAAATGATTGTAATGTAGATCATTACCGTTTGCAAATCTTCCCGCACCCCGACTCCATATCGCTGCCTGATCATCGCCTCTCTAGAAAAAATTCACTAAGAACTTGTGCATAGGAAGTGACTGTATGTGGTAGGAAAGAAGGCAGTTCTCCTGAGAATCCATCTGCCTATGCGGTTGCCCAGAGATGCGGAAACTATATCACAATTTCTGTCCGAAACTGCTCCCTCCATGGTTCATTTCGTGTAATACGGAGCGGGCATACTACCATGGAAACATACATTGTAAACCAACATCCTAGGATTTCTTCTCATGCAAATTGTAACTGCTTGAATTACGCACACTGTGTACAACAAATTTCTACCGAAGATGAAGTCAACTCCTTCATTGCTCCACCAATCGTCTGTTCTCCTACTCACCTTTTTGGTCTACCTTCCCCCTTCCACAAACATGCTCCACGTCCACTACGATCACATTCGCGGACACACACACGCACACATATAGATCTCCACCGTGCGTAAGGAAGATTACGACTTCAATCGAGGCAAGACCGAGTATGAAGATATCCTCCAATGCAATAATTTGCCCAGTAGTGCCACCCCCCGTGGACATCAAATCCCAGCTGCCTTCTTGGCAATGGCCAGTGGACTGGATAAGGTGAGTTGGACAATCCGCCGGTCCGTTTTTGTTTCCAGCCAGGTTCGGGATATGGATGCGGGTGTCAGTATGTGCTCCTCTTTTCTGGTATGCAGGCATTTGGAATGCAGTTGAGACGGTCTTGTTGTTGTTGTCGTTATTCTTTTTTTGCTCTAAGAGGAAAGTTGTGAACCAGTTCCTATCCTCGCCGGACATATCGGCTTACCTCTATGCGCCTTTCAGCTAGACTCTTCTTCTTAAGTTATTCCGTTCAATTTAGCATTAGTTATACGTTCTGGATGTATTACCTGCACGTTAAGAGATGACTACAGGTTGAGTGATAATCAACGTACTCTACTCATGTGCTCATACCTTTTCGTACTTTCTTTTATTTATTGCACCACAAATGGACAGTCTACAGTAGCAACACGAATGGCCCAGATATAGGAATAAGTGAAGAAAAAGTAGTCCGATGAATAAGTGGTGCGGCTAAGTGGAGTGGAATGCGTGATAAACGAAGCGATGAACCGGTGAGCTTTTGTCTAACACCGACACACCACAGTCGCCTGTTGCAGCTAACCCGTGATTAGCCCGGGAGGCGACGGGAGGGGTGGGGGTGGGGGGGGACGTACATAGTTTTTCAAAGTCATCTAGCTTGATTGACACATTTTACACGTTCTGAAGCAGACGCACCGTCGACGACAAAATCCCCTTCCCGAAAATCTTCGCTTAGAACAATCCAGTATCAATTCATCCCGTGGTTAGTCACATTCATTCGCGTGTCCTAACGCATGGTAAAGTAAATATACTAGCTTAAATACATTTCAATCTGGTCTCGTGATTCAGATTGTGTGTCACACAATTCATGAGAACACTGTACATCGGTTCTGTTTCATTTGCATGACACAGTCGGGTTGCTTAAAGCAATCAGTTGATTTTCTAAAACATTCAGAACTAACGTTTTCAATTGGTTAAAGTTTAACCGGAAAACAGCGTATTTGTGTGTGAAAAAACGGATCTCATTAAGAGTACGACCATGTACCGTACGTCTGTCATTCTTTAATCTCCAAAATTGGCGTATCAGACCTTACTTACTATCGAGCTTACAAGAAGACTCATCAGCTGACTAAAAATGTTTCTTTCCTGAACCGATGTAAATTGTTAGTTCAATTTTTCTTTTAAAATTACATTTGATGAAGGAATATCAGTTTTACCACAACACTTGGGGTGAATGAAGGAGGTACGTCACTAGGTTGATGTTCAGTTAGTCGGATTTGACTTCCTAGAAGTGCATTTCCTGTATTCAGGCTCACAGTTTGTCTTGTTGTCCAATCAAACTGCTGACCATGATCACTGGGAACTAGTTTGTATACATCTTAGAATTGAATTCGGGGTTTTTTAGTTGACCCAGATGAGCGAGTTGTTCGTGGTTCATCAATTCGTCTTTTTTATCTCTGAAAACTGGCGTTCACTCTTACTCTTTAGTGAACCACTCTCCTTATTAGGAAGAGGTATGGCGAGGGGGAATTTCTCGCTAGGTGCAACCGGGAAAAGTGAGACTCAGTTATTGTCATTGTTATTGTCATTATTTTTTTCAACTACCTCAGTGTAATAGTTGTAGTACGCCCTGATCACGAAATACGAATCACGAATGAGAAATCACGGACTCCTAAGCACTGAATCACACTGGTGCTAGCACGATAGTGTCCCACGTAATCGAGACACGAGGAAAAGGCCACAGGAATAGCAGTTTATTTATTGAAAAAAATCAGGGGGTTTAAATAAGGAGTAAAAAATAATTTCATTGGTCATCCAAGCCTTTGCCAATCGCTTTCTAGTATTTCTGGTGTTGTTTAGCTTCTGTTTGGGCCGCACGGCTTCTGATTGGTTGGTACATTCAGCCTACGGTTTGTAGTCCAGAAGCTGTGACACGTACGCGCTTTGCGGACGTCATCCGTGAAGCTTCACTGATCGCAGNGATCGCAGTTGTCCGAAAACTGTAATGTGTCGCGGTATGCGTCATCTCGTAGGCTAGGGTCACCGCACTCAGTCACTAGGATGGTGATTACCACTATAGGCTACCTGCTATTGCTATTGTCATTCGGCTTTCCGCAACGGTTTTGCTATGCCCATTAACTTTTCATCCTCGCGGCTCCGTTCAGTTGTCAGTCCATACTATTTTACACTTGCCGATTTTTTGTTATTCTGTGAGTTTGGAATATTTATCTATTTTTCTAACAATTCCCGCCTCTATTCTCTTCTCGCCCGGATAGCATGGACTAAACTCGACTAAACCGTTGCCTTACACACACGTGGATGTGGCCGGCAGTGCAGCGGAGATACATGTGTTGCCCACTGCCGCCCCATTATTAATGTTTGCCAGTCGATACGTGCTACCGCGACTTGGATTTAAATAGGCATCTTCACATTCGGGACAAATGAATTGATGGATCGATCGATGGACCCATTGATTGTTCTCTTTCCATACCACTTTGTTTTTCTATCGGCACACAATCGGGGCTGTTTTTTTTTTGTGGAGAACGATTTTCCTACACAGTTCAACCAATTATAGCACATTTCTTGATTCAAATTATTGGTTTTGAATATAAGCTTTCACAAAGTGCATCATTTGGATGTCGTCTGGAAAATAAATGGTCGCTTAACTGATTAACGGAAATAAAAGAGCTTAGATTTAGTCAAATGCATTACCCAGTTCAATAAAGCCATGAGTTCCACGAGCTCAGAGAAGCGCGATTCATGGCCGAATTTGAAGTGTGTTATTTTTTGAATACACACCAAGCTGGATAAACTGGAAATTTCGAGGGAAAATAAAGTCTGTAAGAGGAATAACCTTTCAAAAGTAAAACAGTGCTTCAAGGTAAACTGAATCAAATCCCGTAAAATCGCAGCATCATCCGATGTAAAATGAGTAGGTGCATAAAACTAAAGACGTATCATTTATATTCCCCTACAGCTTGATATAACTCTTGTTCACCTCTCGAATTCGATACACTCAAGAAAAATCTCAAATGCTGTGCATTAATTCTATAGTGACGTTTGGAAATACTTCAAACCCCATTTCCATCTTTTGCTTGCACCTGAGCAATGGGAACAGACCATATCATGCCAGAATTAAGTACACATGAACGTCACAGAGGCATGCAATCGATAAGTTTGAGGGTGCCTAGACTTTAGGTGCATTCTACCAAAATTCAAATAGACTGCCTGTCTGTACTACCGTCCCGGGAGTCGGCTTAGTCTTCCGCAACCCCGTGTCACGTGAGAACAACAAGCCTTATGTTTACAAGCCGTCTCTTCGAATGCAATGCGCCAGATACGAGATTTGAGGAATGAACAAAAGCGGTCAAACGTGTACCACTATGGGTTTATTACTGGCACCCAGATTTAAGAGAACTCCGGGGCCTACTAGATGAAAAATCAGGTTTAGTTGGGATGAAACTGATGTGAAGAAATTTGTTCATGAGGCTACAAATATCTTATCTGCAGAATTTGGAGTTATATTCTGGCGAGACGCTATTGGTCATCGTCTTACTGACTCAAAACGCTCGGCACGGTAATCTATTGCTCTTCGAGCTCGACAAATCACCGCTTTATACAAGTAATCTGGTTTATTGAAGAAACGCTCGTTAACTTATTACCAATTTAATCAAGAAACCACGAGTATCAAATATGCATAACCAGCACTCAAACGACCGGAACGCTCACCATGTTCGAGCCGCCATTGGGACCAAATTTGACCAAACCTTGTAAACATATAGCTATGTACATTTTATGACTTATGGTTCGACCGAAAGTTATGAACAGCTTTAGACAACCCAATTGGAACAGTGATTACACGAATTTGCAACACACCCAAATATAAGTGTGTCTTGCCGTTTGCGAATCGGGCAAGAAAGGTTTTCCCTTTTTCGAAATGTATCTTTCACAGCGGATCTCAGAGATCCGTGTTTACTCCGATTATTACATTCTCATCCTTATTCGTTAATTTCAACGGTTACTTGCATTCTTGCATCTGACTAATATTCATTTATATTTGCTTGGCAAATGTAAAACGCTGTGAAAGATACATTTCGAAAAAGGGAAAACCTT